TGTCCTCGTAGCAGAGGTGCTCCAGCCCTCTAAGTCTCTAACTGAAGTCTCTAAGTGAAGGACCATCACAGCAGAGCTGCTCTGGGCTCACGATACAGGCTGGGTTTGGGAACCTCCTGTGTCCCATCTGGCACAGGGGGGAGGTGTGGGGCTCTGCTGCCACAGCCGGCTGGTGATGGCCTCTAAATAAAATACCGGGCTTCAAGTCACTGCTTTGGCTTGTGCTTTCCACCGAATGGCAAAGATGATGGTCTTTTTTTTCTCTTCTCAAACAGGGAGCTTATTACACCCAGCCAGTGTACGCGGCACAGCCTCACGTTATCCATCACACCACCGTGGTTCAGCCCAACAGCATCCCATCGGCCATCTACCCGGCCCCGGTCGCTGCGCCCAGGACCAACGGTGTGGCCATGGGGATGGTCGCTGGGACCACCATGGCAATGTCAGCAGGTAAGAAGGAAAATTCTTCTGTGTTCTGAGCCAGAGTTTCATCTCTCAGGTGGGACGTAGCCAAACATCCCGTGCAGGAGCCTTGCCCTGGATGAAAAACTCTCCGTGCAGCTAATTGCAGCTTCGTCTTGCTCGTTTTGCTTGCTGGTTACCACTCTTTTGCGGCAAAAATCAATTAATTTGCTCCCAATACTGATCTAACTCAGTTTGTAGGTGAGCAGAGGAGATCTTTTGTTCGGCTCACTCTGGAGGGATGCACTCTTGCATCCTTAAATATATTATTCTTTCCTCTGTCTGTTCCATAGATAGAGGAATAACCAGGTTGGTCCATCTTCAGATACCGTTGTATTTCTGTCCTCGAGTTCCTTTTTCAGGATACTTAATGGTTTTGCTTTCGTTTGGCAAAATGAACATTAACCTTGGTTTGTGCATCCCAAATCCTCTGCGCTTTATGTGCAGGACTGCTTCAAGCTGCAATTAATTGCACATTAAGGAAGGATGTGGGCTGGTTTTCTTTTTTTTTCCGAAGCCCATATTTCTCTCATTAGCAGTTCTGAGGATTGTATGTATTGGATTACGTGGGGAAATGTGACATTCATCCCTTTGCATCTGCATTAGCTGTGAACCAGGACTCTGGGAGGGGCCACGATCCCAGTTGCAAGCAGAGATGTTGCAGCCTGGGTATGCCAAGAACCACTCTGAGAGGTTTACTGGTGCTTGCACTGAGAAGTGGATAGATGTAAATAATGCACGTGGGATGCCTTAAAGCCTCGTCAGTAGCATTTGTAGAGAGATTCCCAGAAACTGAGAAGTCGTTTGAGCACCCAGTTACTCCCAGAACAGAGCAGTTTGGGGCTGTGTTCTCCCTCCCCATGCCTGCTGTGATCTGCTGCTGTCATTTAGCCCGGTGCCTTCAGCAGGTGGAAGGTGTCAGCAGGTTAGTGGCATGTTCTGCTGCCACTAAAGACAAGGAAAATTGGACAAAGATGAGTTAAGGGCCAAAAGCAGTGTGGAAAATATGCTGGAGCCTTAGGTGGGTTTATCCCGTTCATGGTGCTGGCTGATACCAACCACCTGAGTCAAACGCCTTCGATTCGGGTCTCACAGACAGAATAATATTTAGGAGAATCAAAAAAGCAAAAGCTGATGCCGTGCCCACCCCTCGGATGCGATCTACAGCACCGCACCCTCAGGGTACCGCTCCCCTCATGGAGCTCTCCTCCTGGCTAACTGTTTCTCCGTGCCCGTTGCAGGAACCTTGTTGACCACCCCACAACACACCGCCATCGGAGCACATCCAGTTTCCGTGCCAACGTACAGGGCTCAAGGAACCCCCACCTACAGCTACGTACCTCCACACTGGTAAACCCACCGGCCGATTCATGTAAGTGCTGCCGTTGCGGGTCTTGCTCTGCCCTCGTCGGTTAAACAGCCACCGAGCGCTGCCGTCGCTTCTCTCCTTCCTACAAAGCTGCTGGATCCCTTTGTCCGGGTGATGCTTTGACTCCAGAAGAGCTGGCATGGGGCTACGGAGGGTGTTAGCGAAGCATGGCGTACCTTGGCCGTACAGCTGGGCGCGTGCAAGGCCAGGGTGGGTGGTTGAAGGCCAGGTTGGATGATGCTTTGAGCAACCTGGTGTAGTGGAAGATGTCCCTGCCCATGGCAGAGGGGGGGAACTGGATGGTCTTGGAGGTCCCTTTCAACCCCAAACA